GAATGCTCAGGTCGGGCGTCTAGGCACAGAAGAGAGTCGTTTAGGTGGCCGATGAGGACTCGTTGGTCGCAGGTCAGATAACGAAGACCGTCTACTGCAACTTTGCACAGACCACAACCTGTTTCTGGCCAGCACTAACTTTCGGCACAGTCATCGCCGATGTGCCACCGGGCGTCCTCCCTCTGCATCTCAAGCCTGGACTCCGATTGATCACATCGCGATCAGCTACCGCTGGCGTGGTTGTGTACAAGACTGCCGCTCCTTTTGGAGTACCTATCTGGACTCTGATCATGTCTTGGTCTGCGCCAATCATACCTTACTTTTCAGTGGACAACGAAGTGACCACCATCAAAGGATTGATGTTAGCAAGCTGGTTGCAACTTCTGTCGCTAGTAAGTATCGGACCGAGCTAGGTTCTAGGCTAGCTACCATTCCACCGAAAAGTATAGATGAGCATTGGTTGCAATTGCATGACGCCATGAAAATGGCGGGAACAGTCAGTTGTGGGTTTGCGAAACGTCCCGCTTTTAAGCACTGGGTTTCTTCTGGTTCCTTACGACTCATTGAAGCCCGTCGGTCTACTCCGGGTGACCGTGAGTTTGACCATAAACGAAGGATGTTAGTTAAGGAAATTGGGCAAAGCTTGCGTAAGGACCGAGAAGTCTGGTGGTCGATGCGTGCTAATGATCTGGAAGCAGCAGCTGCATCTGGTAATTATCGGAAGCTCTTCCAACTCATCCGAGCCACTGGCAGCAAGAAGTCTGGTGTGAGCGAAACACGCTGCGAGGATGACGGGATGCCAATCACTAACATCCATCGACGTCTTGGACGATGGGCAGAATTTTTCGAAGGGCAGTTCAACTGGCCTGCTGCTCCGGCAACATCGGTCAGACTGTCCTGCCTTCCATGGCCGGTGACGACTGATCCACCATATGAGGCGGAAGTTCGCAAGGAACTCCAACTCTTGAAGCGCTACAAATCACCTGGCCCAGATGACTTACCTCCGGCTCTTTTTAAAGATGGTGGTGACTTTTTGACTAAGGAACTGACGATGTTGTTTACAAAGGTCTGGGAACTAGAGTGTTCCAACGTCATGGAATGAGTCGATAGTTGTCCCTATCTTTAAAAAGGGTTCACGTCGTTCTTGTAACAACTATCGGGGGTAAGTCTACTTCCGATTGCGTCCAAGCTATTGGCTTCCGTCATTCTTCGTAGGTTGTTCAAAACCCGAGAAAGATTGACTCGAGAGGAGCAGGCTGGGTTTCGTTCTGGTCGAGGATGTATTGATCATATCTTCACCCTCCGCCAAATGTTAGAACACCGCCATACTTATCAAAGGCCAACAATCGTAGTGTTTCTTGACATCAGGGCTGCCTTCGATTCGTTGGATAGGACTGTTCTCTGGGATTGTCTATTGAAGAAGGCTGTGCCTGAGAAGTTTATTAACATCCTAAAAGCCCTGTATAAAAACACCTCAGGCAGAGTGAGGGCATACAACCACCTCTCTCCATTGTTCCATTCGAGCAGTGGGGTTAGGCAGGGTTGCTCAATCTCACCATTCCTATTCAACTTTGCCATCGATGACATTCTGGAAACAGTTCTGATGAATGTAGGTAATGGTGGTGTGGATCTGTTGCCTGGAGAAAGACTTCTCGACCTTGAGTATACGGACGATATTGTCTTACTGTGCGATAATGCCCAAGGCATACAATCCGCACTTAATCAGTTGGCAATCAGTGTCCGTAGGTATGGTATGTGCTTTGCACCTTCGAAGTGCAAAGTACTTCTACAAGACTGGCAGGATTCCAATCCTGTACTCACTCTGGATAGTGAGCAGATAGAAGTAGTCGAGAAGTTCGTGTATCTGGGTAGCTGCACAAGTGCTGGTGGTGGAGTGAGTAATGAGATCAATGCACGTATAATGAAAGCCAGAGAGGCTTTTGCCAATCTGGGCCATCTTTGGCGCCTTCGTGGTGTTAGTCTGGCTGTAAAAGGTCGGATCTACAACGCGTCGGTGAGAGCAGTTTTGCCCTATGCCTGTGAAACCTGGCCTTTCCGAGTTGAGGACGTTAGACGACTATCTGTGTTCGATCATCGCTGTCTCCGAAAAACTGCTGACATCCAGTGGCAACACCATGTTAGTAATGCAGAGGTTCCGTATCGTGTGTTCGGGCACAGAGTTGATAACTCAATTGGTGTCACCATCTTGAAACACCGACTTCGGTGGCTTGGACATGTTCTCCGAATGTCGTCCCAGAGAATTCCACGTCGTGCATTATTTGCCGACTCTGGGACTGGTTGGAAGAAGCGGAGAGGTGGTCAGTGCATGACATGGTGTCGTGGCATGAAAGAAAGCTGCAAAGGACTGGCTTGTGTTGGTCCTTCACGACTCCCTGGCTGGGGTTCGAGAGATGGTGCTACACAGTGGCTAGAGACGTTATCAGATATGGCTCAGAATAGAAGCCAGTGGCGATCCTGCTGTAACCTTCTTTTACTTTCTTCATAAAAAGTGGTTGTATCTCCTTTACCTGAAAGATTTCTTCTGATTGTACCTCTTCGTCATTACTCTCTTTTTCTTTTGCGTTCCTTAGTTTTTTTTCTACTTCTCTTCGAATTCCCATTGTTTTGTGTGGCGCATATATATTGGCGCTCTCTTGTACCAATATTTATGTGTTCAAATAAATAAAATAAATAAATAAATTTCTAAGCCAAATCTTAACACTGCTCATTAGATCATTCCAATAAGCACCAATAACTCTTTGAAGATACCTATGATCACAGATCTACAGACTATGTGAGTCTTTTACTTTCTCAGAACATGTGTCATACTTATGAAGTAGAACATGGTGGTTCGCTGTGCAGCATACACCCCGTTTGGTTAGGAGACGGATATCTCATTAACCCAACAACTGATGAAAGTTGCCAAATCCTAACTAGCTTTACTGAACCCGTTTAGACATTTCGTCAGACACCAACTGTTATAATCTCTTTCTTACGGTTATGACCCGGCTATTCCTAATGTTTAGTATTCTCGGACACCGATTCACTCGACAAGTCCCCAAATCAGAACACGGTTGAACAGGAAAGAGATTATATTCCAAATAACAAGGTTAGATGGAAGTAAGAAGCACAGTAGGGAAAACGTTAGTAAATTTATAGTTTTTACATGAGAAGATTCCAAAGTATTCTCCAAGCATCGGCTAGTGCTGATTGGCTAACTCTTATCCAATCAGTGTGCACCAAAGCAATCGTCCATTGAGCATGCTTTAATCCAGTCTATGTCCCGCTAACACCAACCTTTTGAGGTTGGTCAGACTTCCGAGATAAGTGAAACAGTCAACGCGCTCATCTACTTCACTCTGTCATTAGTTCGGAGATCAACGTAGACCAGTCCTAAGACAGTATTTTGCATTTATTAGGACATCCCAAACATGGTTGTATGATTGCTCATTTTATCAGAAGCTTTACCAAACAGAACTATGTCATCGAAAAGCAGACCAATTGGAAGGGGATTAGTCCTGAACAACCCCACTTGAAGTTCACAGTTCTGTTAATAGCTAACCATAAGCTCTGACCTGATCATTAGTACATGGATAGAGAGCTTTCATTTGATTCTAGGGTCTCATCCAGTGAAGTCCGTTGTCCGACTTGACTTACGGTTCAGACATCAAAATATCCCAAAATGTTGTTCAAATCGTGGATTCAGGAGGCCCGAGATAGTATATTGTGAATGTGGACTACTATCATTGGTGGCACAAAGTGAAGAAGTCAAAGATAAATGAGGGTTGATAATGGAAGTAGGAGTAAGTAGGAGTAATATTTGGTGATGAAGGTGGGGTTTGATTATGAACTCGGTAATCTTGTATGATATTAGAGAAATGAGAGTTGTCATTTTACGGTTACCCACATCGTAGGAGACTTACGTTGAGAGATCTGGAAAAAAACTGGGTTGATAATGATCTTATTGATCAAGGTGTGACTGCAGAACTCAAGGAGTAACTTCATGAGGTCAATCATCCACGGACTTTGTGTGATGAGTCCTTGACATGCCAGCTCCGTACTTTATAAAGGGGTGTGGATTAGGGTGAGGAGTAACATATTTTAATTCCTTCCTCCCCTTTGAGAGGGAAACACCTTACTTTTATCACACCACTCTATAGTCATCAGAAAAACTCCGCTATCGGACTGCACTCAGTTTTACAGAACTCCGACCAACCTTCCAGGAATGAATGTGTTTCAGCCACTAGAGCTTGACTGGTTCGTTAAGATATCTAAGCCCGACCATTATGTCAAGTTAGTGGCTACGGTTGAGTCTCAGCTTAATAATAGTGAAAATACAGGCTGAAGGAAGATGTATTTCTTAAAATGAGTCAAAGGTCCACAATGAGAGTAGCAATATTGTGCACTTTCCATCTCCGGAAACGGTCTCTTGCGATCATCCTTACATTTTTGACTTCTAGACATCAGTGTAAACTACCCGATTACGATTGGCTTGGACCCATTGCTCTTCTACGGTGGAACCATCAAGTTAGCAATTATGAGTTTGGGTATAATTTACTATATAGATATATAGAATTGGTCTATCAGGTAGTGAATGCATGCCTAAACACTCTTTACATCGATCTCCAATGATGATGGGATTACGAAGTTGGGAAGCGACGAAGCGAAAACATGGGAATAATTTATAAGATCACACTGCTGGACTAAATGACGTCAAAATGTGCAGACCACAACGTCATGCGCTTCTTAGCGTACTTAAGTGAGATGATTCACAACCAAACTCAGTAGTCAGAATGCACTTCTTTAACTTATTCTTACGAAAGTCGAGTTACAATGCAATTTCATGCATCATATTACTCTGCCTCGTTAAAACTTTTACGATCCACGAGACAATGGTTACAGGTCTTTGAGTTTCGCTAATTTTTACGATATGCGCCGACGTAAAGAACAGCAACTTGGACCGAAAGAACTGTGAGTTGAGCCATATATATAAAGCGTACATGAATTGAGTTATTTGTGGACGCCGTTTGTAGCAGAATGATTGTCAGACTTAATCAGCAACCAATACTTCAATTATCCAATTTTAATACAACTGAGTAATTGAAAGGACATCAATACCACTGACTTGCAACAAAAGCTTTGTGAAAGTTGGTTATAACAGATATAATAGAGCGAAATAATTGATGCATAGTGCGAAATTGATAGTTGAAAGTTAGTTACACCAATTAATATGCCTATAACATGAAAAATAAGATATCTATACCTTTCACGCCCTGAATTAATTATGTAAATGGCTTTTACGACTAGATAATACTATGATTTCCAAATTCTGAAAAACCTCAAAGAATCTGTACGTTCCATTACGTGTTGTTCTTGGTAAGATATGCTGACAAGATGATTCTATGTAGCAAATACTCAGTGGGGAAAAATTTGCCGTATGAGTATGAGACAATTGTTAATTAGCACAGGTACTATAAGTTAAATTTTGACACCATATACGCGGTACAGCAATATCTACAGGAAATAATCACTGTTATTAAAAACTTCCACTTCCAGATCGAAAATATCTATGAACTATATGATAGCTAGAAAATGGCTTTTTGTACTATGTGTAATAATCTGTGTAGGTGAAAATTTTACGTCGTTACTTAAAAAAACTAAATTTATCAGGAGCACAAAACAACTTGAATTATTCGAAGAGACCAGACAATAATACACCTTATGATAAAAGTTAAGGGCGTTTGTAGCAGAGCCTAAGTTATCTTACCTCAGTAAACAAGACATTAAATTGCGTGAAAAAGACCCGAACAAATACAATACGTGTTTCTAACCTCATTTAATTTCTGGTTTGTCATACTTCAAGAATGAGAGTACAGAACCGGAGAAACCCCCATAATCCGCGAGTTCTAAAACTCCCAGACTACATTAACTTCCCAAGGTCACTGCAATTGTTATTTCAAACACTTTAAAAAATTAGTAAACACCCGTAAATCTGTAGCCCACTTCGTTTCTAACGTTCAATACACAAACTGAATAAAAAATGTAACGTGATTTCATTTACTTAGTGATTAGATTCTGAACGAAATAGCATAAATTTTTTTGTGAATTACATTTCAAGCTCAAACTTTATATTTGTTTGCTATTTTAACCCGACAAGTTCAAAATCGTAATAAAAGTGTGTCCATAGAAGATAGATTTAAATGAACGAAGTGAACTATCCAATGTAAATCATGCTCTTACTCTCTACGTGAGCGCTAATTAAAAGGACAGTGGTATTTTTCCTCGCTGAGTAAATTCTATTGTTTTGATCGTTCATTACGTATCAAGACTACTGTTTTCACTTTAACTGAATCTATTTCAGTTAAAGTATTCGACTAGAGTATCGTTTACTGTTTCTCAATTAGTTTATCGTCGGTACTCTTGAGTACCTCATTTTTCTACTGTATCTGTTCGTACTTTTGGTCCTAACAATCTGCAGTCCATTAACTTTTCCGTCATAGATCATTTTTTTGTCTCTGAGTATTATTGCATCTAGCTCTTTTTGTTTTGAAAAGGACCCCTTTCTAATGACCGGACAGTGTAAAAAGCAGTTGCCAACGATCGGGTTGTCGTTATCCCGTTGAAAGCGGCATGCAGTGCGATGAGTGCAAAGGCTGGTACAACGAAGTTTGCACGACTTTAACGCCTGCGACTTTCAAAAGGTTCAGTGAAAAGGGTTGCGTTTGGCTTTGTCAACAGTGCTGTTTGAATGCAAACAGCTTGTTAACCGAGGACATCTCACTGCTAGATTCTGCGAAAAAGTGTTTTAGCAAGCGTAGTCGGGACACATCAAACAGCACTCGCTCTGTTGACAGGCAAATTGATATGTAGCAAGCTCAGGTGGACTAGAAAAAAGGTGAATCACACCGGTCGAAGAAGGAAAAACAGTCTCCAAAGAGGTCTTTCTCAAACAAAAACGCGAGAAAAGAAGGTTTTCTGCTCCCCGTCTTCCAAATGATATCAGGCAGGAAACACCTAGAAGCCGCAGTCGCAGGGCTCGATCGGTTTCTAGCAGGAAACATAACCTGACCTCCCAGGTCGTCGAAAACCCTTCGGAATCCAACAGTAGGTTTGACGCAACTGTTGTCGCTTCTCCTAGCACCGTTGACGAATGTGTACAGGTTGTAATGAAGAAACAACGTATATAAAAGGGAACCCTTCCCCCGTAAACGTAGTCGAAAAATCGAAAGCTGATCACAGCGACAGATCAGTTATTTTTCATAGAATCAAGGAGAGTCAGAGCTCCGAACCAAAAGCTCGTTTTGAGCATGACATTGTGCTGACTAAGCAACTGCTTAATCAACTCACCGGGGTCACCTTGCTAAAAGTGTACAGACTAGGGAGTCTAGCGGACATGAAACCAAATCATTCCAGACTGCTTAAAGTAGTATTCAAATCTTCGAACGAACGTGACCTAATTTTACATAATGGACACAAATCAAATGGTTCAGGAGTCTTTATCCGAAGGGACAGACGGTAAGACGAAAAAGAACTATAAATTAGGTTAGATGCTGGCGAAAAGGATCTGAAAATTGTAAATTTTCTGGTTGTAAGGCTTCAACAGAGAATGATGCCGTAGCCACTCTGGGTGAAGCACGAAGCCACTTAAACAGGCTTCGGATCTGTTACACCAGTGCCCGAAGCTTACTTAATAAGCGATCGGAACTAGGTGTAAAGATTGACTCTACAAAGTCAGACATAATCGCAGTTTCAGAGACCTGGCTGACACAGTCTATAGATAGTATGGAACTTGATTTCGACGGTTTTACGTTAGTAAGGGTCGACAGAATGTGAAGGTGTAAAGGAGGGGAGTAGCTCTATGCGTTAGGAATGCTATCCCATTTGCTATTATCGTCAGTGTATCCCATGAGAGTGGGACGTGTGAATTAGTTAGTTGGAGCTCGAAATACAAATGACAAGAGCTGCTGATTGATTTGGTCTATCGCAGTCCACCTGTGAGGTAAATGAGGTCCTGCTAAGCAGTCTCAATACTTGGTCACAAAGTGCTCGATGTCTAATCCTAGGGGACTTTAATGCACTTATGGTAGACTGGGAAAATTCGCGAACTGAATCATCAGATAATTCCTTCGAGCAGGAACTAGTTTATGCGGTTATCACATGTGCCCTAGTGCAACATGTGAAAGAAGCAACTAAGTATGACTCGGACTTCAAATAATCCTTAGTAGATCTTATATTGACTCACTATGAAGATGATGTTGCGAACCTCCATTACATGCCACCCCTAGGTAAGGGTGATCACACAGTTTTAACTTTCGACTTCCATATAACTGTCAATCACGAGCACGCGTCAGTCCAGTCCAGACCTAGCGTCTGGAAAACAAACATACCAGATATCATGCACTCAGCATCGTTAGTAGATTGGACAATAGACCTAGAGTCCTCAAGTGAAACGGCCTGGGAGGAATTTTGAAATTCATACTTAAAAGTCACCACACCCCACATCCCTTGAACTATACCAAGGGGGCCGAGAAACTCCCCACCATGGTTCAGTAGGGAGGTCCGCATCCTTCTCCGTAAGAAAAGAAAAATGTGGAATTGATTTAGGTTACTGGGGACTGATGAGACAAAATATCAGTATCGAAAAACTCGGAATACCTGTGCCTCGACCCTCTGTAAGTCTAGAAAATTGTACGAAGAAAAAATTGTTGAGGAATCCATAGAATGTCCTAAACGTTTGTATTCCTATATAAACCAAAGGACAAAGAGTGGAGGATGACTTTGGCAAGGCTCAAGTGTTCTCGAACTACTTCAGCAATGTATATACCATAGAAGCACCCTTCCCGTCAGTGCATACAGATTCCCCCACACATACACTGCATAGCGTGACCATTAAAGAACTCGATGTCTTTGGTCTACTAAAAATGATTGACATAGATAAATCCACGGGGCCCGATGAATTACATCCTAGGCTACTGAAGGAATTATCTAACTTCGTTGCAAGCCCTTTAAGTACATGCTTCGACCTATCCGTTACGCAGGGTCGTTTACCAAAAGACTAGAAAAACGCCATAGTAAGTCCTGTCTTCAAAACAGGTACGAAACACAAACCTGAGAATTATCGACCTGTTAGCCTGACTAGTGTGGTTGTTAAAATCTTAGAAAAGATTATTCGGAAGGAGCTGTTTAAGTATGTCGATAAAAACCGGATCTTCTCGGAGAAGCAGAACGGCTTCAGAATAGGTTATTCTTGTCTCACTAACTTATTAGTGGCTCGTGAAAGCTGGTGCGCTCTTAAGGACCAAAAGTTACCTGTAGACGTAGAATACACAACCGGCTCTTATATAAGCTAAGAAATGTTGGAATTGGAGCCAGTCTATTGATGTGGATAAAAGACTTCTTAGTTGGGCGCCATCAAAGAGTACAGGTGAACTTAAAGTTATCTAGCTGGGAAACTGTGCTTAGTGGAGTGCCCCAGGGTACAGTTTTGGGGCCAGTGCTATTCCTCTTGTATGTAAATGACCTCGTCTCCTATCATCATCGGTCTTGCTATATGCTGACGATGTCAAGAGATGGAGAACGATACAATGTAAGAGTGATAGCTCAGAACTCCAAAATGATTTGAAGAAATTTTCTGAATGGTCTCAAACCTGGCAGTTGCCGATAAATACTTCCAAGTGTGTCGTTACGCATATCGGTCATCAAGGCACAGATACATACATGATGAATAACACTGAGCTACCTGTCGTCCAGACACACAATGACTTAGGAGTCATCGTTAGCCAAGACCTAAAGACTACTGCACACTGTCGCGCAGTAGCCGCCAAAGGTTTTAGAACCTTATGGTCAATACGTAGAGGTTTTAGTCATGTCGACGCTAAAACGTTTTTGACTTTGTATACAGTGTTCGTTCGTCCTAAACTTGAGTACGACATACAAGCGGCTAGCCCTTGCTTAAAAAAAGGTAGTGGGCTCCTGGAAAAGTTTCAGAGAACGGCGACTAAGCTGATTCTCGGAATAGTGAAGCTTCCGTATGATTCTCGACTGGCCAAGCTGAACCTTTCCCCGTTGTCATATCGCAGAACTAGAGGCGACTTGATTACAGTCTTCATATTGCTTAGTGATATATTTGCACGTGATATGCCCTCATTTTTCTTGACTCCCAAAGCAGAGAATTTACGAGGACACTCCAAAATAGTTCACAAGCCCAGAACAAACTACTTGTCAGCTGACTATCGACTTTCCCATCGAATCATCAACGAGTGGAATTCACTACCTCAGCACGTGGTTGAGGCTCCATCCGTCGACTCTTTCAAAAGAAAGTTGGATCAACTGAGAGACCACCATTGCCAGGACTAACACAGGCCATC